ATCTAATACTCTTTTATATCTCGGTATTCTGTAAAATGAGTTTTGACCCGTAAATAAATAAAAACATTTAAAACTTGAAGCTGAAAAATGTAGCTGGCTGTCACATTTAGCATATCGCCTAAGTGACGCGCTCTACTGACTACATATTCGTATGAGTATAAAAATTGTTTAAACTTTACTTAAGTTTCCTTGTAAATATAAAAAAACTCTAGTTGATTGCCGTTATTTATAGATTTTTCACAAGAATCACTAATTTTTAATTATGTTGTTAGATGTTAAAAGAATTAACTTCAAAATTATTGTTTTTAAATGATTTAGGACCCTTTATACTATAACATCTTGTATAGCCACTTCATAAAACACGTGTTAACATGGTTTTATAACGTTTTATTAAATATCTCGTAAACAATGTTTGAAATGTAATTAATTAAGGAACAAAATAAAGAATGTCTTTAAAGGGCATAAGGCCTATCACTTCATCGCGTTCGGCTGGTCGAAAGTCAAGTCCCCGCTCTCTCCTGGTCCTGGACACTGAAACGGGTAGACGTGGTATTGTCGACCCCAGGGGCGGCGATATCCTAATTCGCTAACTCTAACAGACACTCCAACGGGCAGACGTGGTGCCGTCGACCCCAGTGGCGGCGATATCCTAATTCGCTGACTCTAACAATATTTTATATTAATAACTAAAACTCATTTCAAATAATAAAAAAAAAATAGTCAACTTGACATTAAGTAATGAATTGTAATTGATAGAAAACATAGAATGGATATAATTATATATTATATTCGTTCAATAGACTAATATCGCCCACATATTTATTTTGTATATCGTGCAAAAATTAGAAAAATGAATAATATACCTACATGGGGATGTGGATGCAGAATTTTTTTCCACTTACCTGTATTGAGGATCTATATCAGATTATTTGTTAATTCTGTAATCGTGCACAACGCCAAACACATCGGTTTTCTATTCAGTCTCAGTCTGTTTTAGTTTTTAGTTTACAATTCGCGACAAGTCAAAGCTTGAGTCGGCCGTTTGCGCCGGCGTAGTTTGGTCTCTAAAAGGATCCGAGACTGATATAGATGATTCGAATACGAATCCTTTAGGATTTTCTCTGCGAATCCGGATCACGGATCCTTTTTTTCTAAAGTATTCGAATCCCGCTCTCGGATCCTCAAAAAGGATTCGAATCCTGGATTCGAATCCTATGTGATTCGAATCCTTCCCAGCTCTGATACTCAGATATGTTATAAGCCAACAACTTTATTGAAGTTTATGCATCCTCGCCGAAATTATGTGTCTGTCCCATTAGCTGCCGTGGCGGTATCGACATTAAATCTGTTCTAGGCAACGTCGTAGAAGATAATTCTTAAAATAATTTATTTACGAGTACCTGTACTAAAAAACACCAAACCAATAAATCAAAATTAAATCCGTATCCGTAAAATCAAGCCAAGTCTATTTTTTTTATCGATCAAGATTGAGATTTTTAAAAACAAAAGAGTGAAGAAATGTGAACAAATATATCCCAAAATCAGATAAGTTTATACAAAGATTGCTTGGAATCGAGGATTTTTCAAAAAAATATATCCTTTTTCAATTACAACGTTGTTGGTTTTTCTAAAAATTTTTAACTTTGTTTTTATTTTAAATTGCTTAGAAAAATTTTTTCGTTTCTGTGTAAATTGATCCAAGTCTTCTTGACGATAATGCAATAAAACTACATTTCACGAACTTTAACGAAACACCTGTTACTTAACAGGTGTACTTACACGGTTCCTGTAGAATACAATTGTTATGCACAATATTCCGATCAAAAAGTAGCCTATAACCACAGCTTATTCATTACCAGCTGGTAATCTCATCGGCGGCACCTTTGTACTTTGAAAGTCAGCAGTCGGTAGGTCGGTATTCGCGTGCTATAGAGAGTGGGATAGCCAGCCACCATACTAGCAACGATTCGCGTATCAGGCCCGTATTAAGTTGTTTTAACGGGAATCGGATTACAGAAACGATAAAAATTATAAATATATATTATAAAATATTTATTCAAAACAACTTGCACATTAGTTTACATTACTACTAAGAAAATAATTACTGGTTTTTCCAAATTAATAATTTTCTATTTCTCTGGGTTACTTTAAAATTCCTATTGGCATATTTTAGCGTATAATAAGTTCTGACTCTTGCACATAATTTCAGCAAGTACGTATGCGGAAAATTTGTACAGGGGTGAATAAATGTGATGGTTTTAAAAATATTAACAATTGTGGAAACTAAATTATCCATAACAGTCAATTTCTCAAAATTCTTTTGAAATAGTAATTTTAATGCTGTTATAAAATTTATAAAATTTGTATGTGGCATATGAAGGCTACCGTACTGATCCAAATCTAAGTGCCTGTACGCTTTATAAAAAAGAAAATAATGATGTTCCATCCACTTTGGTACTATTTGCATATTGCACGCACGTGTCACAAGTATACCGCGCCAAACATTTTTTTATTAAATAACCACAAACATATTTGACACATTTTTTTTCTAAAATATCTGATTTTCTATCATCAGTATCTACGATTACCGTTTTAATAGGTACTGCAGGTTCACACTGGTCTTCCGCATTCTGTGGCATATCTGTCATCTTCAGTAAAACACGACTAGTATCGTCCTCGCAGTTTTCTGTACCTAAATGTAAGAGATCTAAACAAAGTAATTTTCTGAACGCCCGTATAAGCTGTATTGGGGTTGGATTTACATTATTTCCACACTGTTGACGAACAGAACCAAAAAAATTTTCAAGACAATCCTGATGTGTTCGTCGAGTTAATAAAAATTTTATGTCAGAATGCTGTAAATTTTCCCATAAATGCAAAATACCGTGAATAGTTATTTTCCAACCCAATATGCACTTAATTGTTTTTGTAACATTTACACCATCTGTGTTAAATACTTCCATATTATTGAAAAAAATTAAGCACTCCTTCAAAAAGTCTGTTTGTTCTCTGTTGCATACATACACTTCCTGATATTGTGTAGCTGCTGGACCACCAGATGTATTTAAAATATCGAACAAATTGTTCATTCTTAAAATCAAGTCCGCTGTAGTAGTAGCTGCTGATGAAAGTGCGTCGAATCTAATGTATAAATACATACTGTGAGTTACAGAAGCACTAGAAACTTGAGCTGCTAATTTGACCTTCATTTTCTCAAAATTGTTGGGGAAAATGTGTGAGTCGGTCAATTTTGGAACTCCTTGAATATTGTATGACTTATCGTGCGAATAAAATTGTTTCACATATTCCCAAGAGGCTACTGAATCATTAATCTTAAAATTGTGTTTTATCAGGTTATTTCTAAGAGCTTTTAACAAATGAGGGATATCAAAGAGAAATACAATTTTGTCATTCCCAAACATGAAATACGGATGTTCTGGTGAAACATTCAGTAATTTTGCTAACTGCAAATTATTTGAGCCCATATCACATGCAACGCCTACTATTTGAGCCCTATATTAGTAACTTCTTGTATGACGTTTAAAATTAGTTGCTTTAATTGCAATCCAGGACACGTAGAATTAACTAGATAATAGGCAAGTGATTGTTTCCAATTTGTACATATACCTCTAGTCATGACTACTGTGGCAGCTAGGGCTGGTTTAAAAGATCTGTATTCACCTCCCATGTCTTCAAGATCATATACCCTATCTGAATTTATATTATAAAACAAATTAGCTTTACAGTTCATTTCATCCACAAAAATAAAACAAAGTTTATCTAATACCTCAAAACGTTGGGCTTTATCCTTTAAAATTTTAAATAGTACACTATTTATACCAATAGAAAAATTAATGTCACTGATAAACTTTTCTAAGGTGCCAATTCCAGGCAGACAAAAGTTATTTGAAAGTTGCTGGTTTTTATATAATTTCGGACCTAGAAAATAGAGCGACAAACAATATTGCTTAAATTCACTAGTGAATCGTCTGCCTTTCGGTTTCTTAACTATTTCTCCTACTTGTATATTTATAAAATCAGCTATATCTTTAACGCCGCACAACGATTGCAAATACGCATTATCGCAATGTTACCTCGAAAATAAACTATTTACACACAACATGATAAAATACACTAAGTTCGCTCCTGTACTCCTGTTTTTCTACACTACCACTTTCTAGCGGCAAGTGAAGCTCAGACAGCTGGTAATGACTCCGCCCATATGCGCAGCCGTCCCAACTCCAACGTTCCGTTTTATGGCGAGATGACCAGCTGGTAGTAAATAAGCTGTGCCTATAACATTCTCTGACGCCCAAACTACCATTATGCAAAATATCATGTCGATCTATTGCTCTGTGAAAAATAAAAACAAATTATCCCACCGGAACCGTACATTTTTCCGGGCTATTTTAGACTATAATCTATCTCTGTGCCAAATTTCATCTAAATCCGTTCAGCCGTTCTGGAGTAATTGAGCAACAAACATCCATCCAAACTTTCGCATTTATATAAGTAGTAAGATAACAGAAATTCAAAAACCATGTAATTTTTAGTCATAAACAAAAGGCACTTAAAAATTTATCTAAATCCATTATCAATTCACTCTGCACACAAATTTCGCCACCACTAATGCAGTTTAAATACAAAAATAAATATAATTTTAATTTAATAACTTTGCGTTATATTCCAAACAAAACAATCATGACAACGCAAATGGCTGTTCCATCATTGAAAGCGATAATTTCATTTAACAAAACCAAGCATCGGGTGTGTTTAGTTATTCAACTCTTTTTAATCACTCGATATAATGTTTTGGATACTACCAGCAAAGATAAGTTAAAAAAAGTAGACGCAATTTTTTCAATAAAAACGAATTTCAATAAAAAGACAATTTTCAAATCAAATACTTTTTAATAAAAAAAAAATAATTTTTAATATTTTTTGTACAATTTTTTTACTATTTGTACGTATATTATAGATAAATTTAGACAAGATTGTCTAATAAATATCTACTTTTTTTTAGTTTCAGAAACTATTTGTGCTGGAATAATGGCGCAGAAAATGTTCTCTCCATCATCGTCTTTCAATTCCCAGTATATATCTACAGAAACCTGAAAAAATATGTTAGATAAATAATGTATTCTTTGTCAATAATATGAGTACCTAGTGGCAAAACGATGGGTACATATGCGAATACTCTTCCTCTATTAATTGTGATCATTAATATAGCATATAATATAATATAATATAATATAATATAATATAATGATATTTTACGGATTTATTAACTTCCCTAAAGTATAAATTTTGTAGCCGCATTTACTTTACCATCGCTTTTTTTATAAAAACAAGTTGAATACACTTATCGTTAGTAATGGTATACAAATTTTATTACTTTTTATTCGATCAATAAAAAATTTAAACTTTTCTTGCATTTAAGTCTCTCTTTAGAAACAAAAATGTAAAAAAAATGTTGGTTCTACTTGATGAGTCAGTCGCCTAATAGTTATTTGTGTAAGGCCGTAAATTTGATCTTTTTTGGCCAAATCAGAAATTTGCGGATGAGGCGTAGCCTTAAACTAGTTGCTATGCATTAGTGTCATAATGTACTATTTTTTATGACGTTCCATAAACCTACCATAAAAGTGCTTTTAAACAATGTATTATGTACGTACTTCAAAAGATATACGAAAACCATATGTAAAATGCATGTACAAAGAATATAATATATGATCCGCAACCATGTCTTTTATTACATTTTTATATAATGTATTATGCATATCCTTAAAATAATACGATTAGCACTTCAATGTTTACTGGGATGACAAACAACATGCGACAACAGGATTACTTGAATAAAAGACTTCAAAATAACATTAAAGCGTATAGCATATAGGCACTTAAAATGAAATTAAAAAGAATCATGCAGAAGGAAGAAACTGAATTTATATCAATGAAACTTGAAATTAATTTAATAAGGAATTTAACATAAAGCAGAAAATAAGATTCAAACAATGGCAATGAAATACCTAAAGGCACCATTTGGGAACGACGCGACAAGGTAGACGACATACGACAGGCAGCAAGCAGGAAATCCTACCGTGCTAAAACTGCTATCGTCTGTCGTGCCTTCTCAAATGTGTTTCATATAATTACATGTTTTCAGACGTGAAGAGACCGTTTCGGTCTCCCTCGCTGCCGTTTTACGCTTGAAGTCGGTCTCGGGTCGCGCCTTCCCAAATGGTAGCTTAAAGGAAAAAACGAATAGAATCGGGTTTTCGAAGGATTAAAACCATTTTTAAAAATAGCATTTAAAATGGTTTAAGAATACCAATCGGATGACGGAAATTATGAAGCTAAAAATATACGATTTACAAATACAGGGTGGATAAAAAGTTTTCAAAAGAAAAATTCAAATTATTCAAATTTCATAAAAGGTTCAAATAAAACTTCTTGTTGGGTCAAACAATTTTTTTTGATAATTCGAGCAATAATAATATTGGCCTATTTCGTGCATAGAACTACACTACAGACTACAACTAACACAGGAGAGCTTTATTCTATGCGAGGCAAAGAACTTTTGAATTATTCTTCGAATACCACTATTATATTTTCAAGATCAAGATCATATTTCGGTTTTGGAAGGTTCTATAAAAAAAATGTATACTTACCCTTGGGTATTTAGGCTTTACAAAAATAGTATTTGTATATGTATAAGTACAGTCGGGTTCCAAAGGACAGGTAAGTCCTACTTCCTCACAAGCATAAGGATTTGGCAGATTGAATTTTTGTTTGAAGCCCAAAACTTCCCCATTTACAACAGCGGTTACATTACTAGAGGCGACCTCTAAAAAATAAATAATAATAGTATATGGCCTGTCAAGTAAATACGTTTGTTAATTTTATAGGTTATTCAATTTGTTACAGAAGCCAAATTGAAATTATTAAAGCATAATTTTGAAAAAATGAAAGCAATTTAATTATTTAACATAGACCACATGGATGGTAAGGCAATAAAGTAATGTTTCTTTATTGATTTTATAATTTTTTTTTCAGGAAAATATTTTTCTTCGATTTGAAGAATTTTAACCCAGCCTACTTAAACCCTTTTTTTGTATTGGATATAATTTAATTAATTGACACATTCAAAGCATATAAACGGTAAGTTGATAACATTCACATGTAATTCTATCAATTTCATAACCTTTTTTACAGAAAAAGAAATATTTTTACGTAATTTGAAAAATATTAATCTAACTTATTTAAAGGGTAACTTTTGAAATGGATTTTAAAGCTTGGATCCTAATTTTAATATTTTGCATACATTTTATATTGGCAAATTCATATCGGCTGTTTTCGATATTTTTTTATTACAGAAAAAGCACTGTCAAATAGTTACAATTTAATAGATACTAAATTATTATTTATTACAACACAAATATTTAATAATTTATATTATTACATAATGAAGCTACTTTAAATTTTTTTTCATTTATTTATTTATTTTTTTATCTTGCCGAACAGAGTGTTTTCGAATATTTATTATATAATTTTCACAAATATGTGTACAAGAAAAATGCAGAGGCACAGTTCTTATAATTTCTTCTGACCTCTCCACTTTCATTTTTAATACAGCTTTCAAGAGGATCAAAATATGCTATTGATTCCATAGGCACAACAATAAAGTTCATATTCTACTTCCTAGTAACATAATATATAATAACTGAGAACTTATATCGAGGGCCACAATGCAGGACCTCGTAACTAACATTTCCACTGAAAATTTCATTTTATGTAGTATTACAATTTTTAAACAAAACATGGGTAAATATTAATTCTATATTAAAGTAAAATGGATTGTTCTGTACGTAAAACATTTTTTTTAACTGAAAAATGTCGATTTTGCGGCTTAGGGGGTCCTGCCTTGTGGCTCTCGATATACAGGGTGATTCAAAATTAAGTGCAAAGATTTTACGGGCATATTAACCAGCCAAAAATAAGAATTTTTTTTCATATAATCGTATGTCCTAACTTGCTTCGTTTTCTAGATACAGGGTCAAAGTTTTTTAAAAAAAATCGTTTTTTTTAACAATTAATAATTAAATAAAATCACACTTTGAGACGCCACTGGAATAAATAATGAATGAAATTTCATAACACAAATAAAAATTAAGACAGACCTATTTGGAGAAAATCATTTAGTAATTCATTTTTTACTTGTTTTAATAGGACCTGGCACAGATTTTGATTTTTTTTCTTGGAAACAAAGCTAGATACGAGTAAAGCTCAAGAGGCAAGAAAGTTACTTTATTGACCGCTTAATTTAAAAAGAATTTTTAATTGTCAAGAAAGCAGTGCCGTTCCATAATTTTACCTATAAGTATCAAGTAGGTAGCCCCCTGAGACGTCACTGGAATGAATAAATTTATTTTATACTCATAAAAGGAACGCCCTTATGACGATAAATAAGCCTACTAAATTTTATTTAAATCGGCTAGAAGATTTTTGAGTAATTGATAAAAAATCCGATTTTTTTTTAAACTTTGACACCTAGAAAACGAAGCAAGTAAAGACATATGAATATATAAAAAAATGTTCTTATTTTTGGCTGGTACATACGTCCTTAAAATATTTTCACTCAATTTTGAATCACCCTGTATGTCTCACCTGCTTCTTTTCTGGACGGACCCAGCCATTGTAAATATTATAAATTCGATAGAATTAAATGTAAAGGTCATCAACTTACCGTTTATTTCTTTAAATTCTTTAAATCGAAGACAAATATTTTCCAAAAAAAAAATTAAATCGATAGAGAAACATTATAAACGTTATTACCTTACCGTCCATATGCTCTAAATATATGTTAAATAATTAAATGTCTTTCACTTTTAAAATTATGTTTTAATAATTTCAATGACCGCTGTGTTATTCTTATAGACATTAATGACAGTTGACAGTATGATTCTTTTGTTGGAATCCAGTGCTATGACCTTCCTCAACGTTTTCACTAAATACGCGTATAGGCCAACGCATTCAGCGGCTAGCGTGTCTGAATACCACTGGGGCCATGCGTACTACGCCAACTGCAACAATAAAGGTACTGATAACCCTCACGCCACTGCACATCTTTATACAAGAAGAAACTAGGTCCGTTATTCACGAGCTAATGCAGGGAAAACCCCTTTAAGCCAACTACATAGCGCTAACCATACGAGACTATACCAGCAAGTAAAAAAGGATAATATTTTAGGAATACCTACTGATACAGCAATAGTCACATACAAATTTGAAAGAAATTTTCAAATTCAAATACCAGCCCGAGAGTACTGGAAACAGCCCTCCCATACATGCTAAAGTCGTCTAATATACAGCCTGTTCAAAAATCAAGGGAGCCAGTGCGGGAATCCTTGGACTCGAGTCGAAAAAAACGATTTCACTAAGTCTAGGAGAATATGCAACAGTTTTCAGGATGAACTAACAGCCTGGAAGACCTGGCAGAACTAAGTAGCGAAAATAAGGTGACCCTAGCCTGGGTGCTAGGCTACGAGAAATATCAGGGCAACGAAAAGGCTGACGAATTAGTCCGAGAAGGCTCAGATAGGGCCAATACAGGCCCCGAAGCCTTCTGTGGAGTTGCTAAGGCATTGTATAAGGCATTCATTAAGCAATAGATGCAAAAAGGAATGGTGGATACAGGCCAAACAGTTCATCAAAGAACCTTCGGCCAAGTTCACGAAAAACCTACTGGATCAAAAATGTCAAATCGTTAGGATAATATAGGTCTTCTTACCGGACACTGTCACCTAAGAAGGTACATTAGTGGCATCACTCCATCGGAAGAAGCAACATTGTGCAAGTTCTGTGAAGAAGAAGAAGAAGAAGAAGAAGAAGAAGAAGAAGAAGAAGAAGAAGAAGAAGAAGAAGAAGAAGAAGAAGAAGAAGAGGAAATATCAATCGACGTCCTGTGCTAGTGTGAAGGCCTGGCTAGATTGAAGTTTTTAACATTAGGCAAAAAAACGCCAGAGGCATAGAACTACATGCGAGAGCCACTGTCAAAGCTACTAACTAATAAAAAAGCTCGACGACCTTCTCTAAAAAACGTAGTCTCACAATAAATCTGAAAAGTTCGCGGTGGACAAAGATAAATATTGTCCGACTCCTTTCAAATCTAATCTAAATCTAATATAATATGGAAACTAATTTATTTAAAATGTCTAAATTATGATTTATATAACCGAGGACATTTCTGTGATCAGAAGCTGATTGTTTTTTGTCGATTTATGTCGAGTTTGGCAGGGATCATACATATCAAGTTTACTGCTTTATTGCTTCGTCTCTAATGTAAACTTATGACATATCAGGTTTGGGACACGCCTTGTATCTCTGATATTTTTGGGGATTCGATTTTAAGTTATACCATCTTGTAGATCACAGTGATTCTGATTACTCAATTTCGGTAAATTTTCGACATAACCATCTAGTTATGGCTACCACTTATAAAGCCCATCCTCACTCCTGATTCAATGTATATGTATACATGTATACAGTGCTCAGTGCTTCTCAAAAGTCACCTCCCCCTCTTTTCTTTTGAACGGTGATACTTAGACTGATGAAATTTAGAGGATGAAAATGAACTATTGTAAGCTTCTCTTCTCTACTAGTGGTAACAGGTGACGTAATAGGCATCGGTGACGTCACCAGGAAACTGAAACCAATACTATTAAATGGGACCTTATGGTAAGTGACATCTCGTTTGAAAGTATTTAGAATACCTATTCAGTCATACTATTTTTTTTTGGATTTACGATGTTTTTGTTGGTTAAAATAAATACACAAAAATTTGAATTTCGCTTTTAATTAATAAATATTTAAGAACAAGTTCTTATAATAATTGTTCAAAATGTGCTCCATCTACTTCCTGACAGTAAAATGTCCTATTATTAAACTCTTGTCGGACTCGATTAAATATGTCGGGGGAAATTGTCCTACATTCTTCAACAATTCGTTGTTTTAAAACGTCAATACTGTCAGGAGCTATAGCGTAAACTTTAGATTTAAGATATCCTCACAGAAAAAAATCTTACTGCAAAGTAATAGTGTGCTGGAGCACCATCTTGTTGGAACGTTATTTCCAAGTTACCAAATTCATCTGGATTATCTTCCAGAATATGAAGAATTGACGCTTCAATTGCTTTTTCTTACATCTCGAGATATACTTCACCGGGTAAATTAGAGTTCAAAGAAAGAGGCCCGCTATGTGGTTTCCCAAAATACCTGCCCAGACATGTACTTTAAAGGGAACAGTGTATGTTTTTCATGAAACATGTGAGGATTCATGTCATTCCAATACCTCACATTTTGAGTATTAACATATCCATTAGGTAAGAAAGTACTTTCGTCACTAAAACAAATTGTCCTTACATAATCTGGCTGTTGGAGAATTTTAGTGGACATATTTTCACAGAATTCCAGCCTTTGGCCGGGGTCGTCATCTGAAAGTTGATGCACCATTTTTAATTTGTATGGGTGAAATTTGTTTTTGGTCAACACCCTGTGTACTGTACTATGACTGACTTCAAAGGTAGACGCCACTTGGGCTGTGGAAGAAGTACGGTTTACTACAATTTCTGCAACTATATCAATTTGTTTATCAATACCAATATTTGGTCGACCCGATCGTTTGGCATCATGAACACTACCTTGAAACTTAAAAAACTTATAAAATAGCTCCCTCAAATAAGTCCTCGATATAGAGCGATTGGGGTTTCTCTCATTAAAAATGCGTTCCGCCGCATGAAAATTATTTCCACTTTCACCAATAATTATTAAGATAGCTGTTACTTTATC